TCTGGCCGCTTCTCAGTTGTTTCCGAGCGCACATTAAAAACACATTACCCTGTTTAATAGACTTATGAGCTGAAATGAATGCGTCGGGCTCTTATAAATATGATGGAGCCTGCTAACCAAGCAAATGTTAAATTTTGCATAAGGAGACAGTATCCTTAACTCCTCTGTAGGACTTAATGAATACCTCAAGCAGCGCTGCAGGCAGCCGGCTCCAAGGCTCCGGATGAATTAAAAGGGGTTTCATTCTATTACTGTCAGGATTCGCCACCCCAGGCTCCCTCTCCTCCTCCTCCTCCTCCTCCTCCTCCTCCTCCTCCTTCTTCTTCTTCTTCTTCTTCTTCTCTCTCTCTCTCTCTCTCTCTCTCTCTCTCTCTCTCTCTCTCTCTCTCTCTCTCTCTCTCGTACCTGACACACATCCACTAAACGAACTGTGCCCCTGCGTTCAGGTACAGGTGAGCAGACGATGGGTGTGCATGTGCCCTGTGGAATGGAGCCCACACCAAGATACTCCCTGGAAGCTCAGAACGTGCCTTCACTTGGAAACTAGGACTGTGTGTGTGGCTGGGTGAGCACCGATCAAAGGGCAAAAAGATGCAGTCACGAGGGAACCAACAATCAGCTTCACGAACATTCACTCTAGGGAACTGATGAGTCTATTGGGCTTATCTATAGAGCATGCAAGGGTGCAGGGTTATGACAGGAGCTTGAGGGACCCCAATGTAGTCACTGGAAAGTGTCTTTCCACCATGTCAAGATGGCTTCCCCAGAGCTGCAGACAGAGTTAACTCTAGTTAACTTCCCTAAGCTATAAAATTCAGTACCTCTCCAGACCTGAGGTCACATACAATTGAGGTAGGATTATATAGGAACAGCTGGGAGGGGTATGTGGGTGGAGCTTACAATTCAGGTGAGGGGCCAGTCACCCCCCTGTCCCCTCCTTGTCTGAAGGAACATCAACATTCCCCAGGCCTGCTCCTGAGGGCCTCTGGCCAGCAGGTGCAGCTGATCTGATGCAGATGGCAGCTGTTTTGCTCTGAAGAGAGCATTCTCCTGTGGAGTAGTTCTTTACACTGTGTGGATCTATGTCACCATGATTGGTTTAATAAAGAAGCTGACTATTCAATAGCTTGACAGGTGGAGGTTAGCAGAGGGTAGATAAGAAATATGGGTTAAGATGTAAGAGTTAGCTAGTAACAATCCTGAGCTAATGGCCAAACGTTTATAATTAATAAGTCTCCGGTTATTTGGGAACTGGATGGTGGGAAAGAAAAGTCTACCTACATTCTCCAACACCAAGTTACCCCAACCCGACTGGCATGAGGGACTGGAACAGCAGTCAGAGAATCTAAAAGAAGCCAAGAGTCACCATGTGTGACTCCTTGGGGCTGATGACCATCTGTGAGAAGATGTTTCAAAACTAGTTTGGTGCTTCAATGGTGCAATGGTTAATCTCGATTGCCAACTTGATGGCTTTAAGAATCACCATGGAAACAAAGTTCTAGGCATGCCTGTGATGGAATTTCTTCATTGGGATAACTGAGTAGGGGAAAGCCACCCCAAATGTGAGTGGCATCATTCTGTGGGCTGGGGTCACAGGCTGAAATAAAAGGAGAAACGCAATCCAAGCAGAACAACCCCCACCCGTTCCTTGAGTGATGGTGGGCGTGATGTGAGCACTTGCTTCCAGCTTCTGCAGCCATGCCTTCCCTGCCATGATAAACAGCACCCTCAGACTGCTGAGCTGAAACACGCCCTTCCTTGGGTTGTTTGTGTTAGGTATTTTCCGTAGCAATGAGAAAAGTAACACAGATGCGTTGACTTGGGAATCCCTGCCCGCTGTCCAGAGTCCTAACACTGCATATCTGGCGGTGAACACTACTTAGAGACGGTCTCAGTGAGGTCATTAAGACTCGGAACTAATCCCATAGGGCCATGTCCTTACAAAGGAGACGGGGCAGTGCTGTGTTGTGTTTCTTCTAAGGTTAAACCCTTGCATCTTGGAGAGAAACATCTTAAGACTAGGATGTAATGAGAAGTGAAACAAGAGGATTATGCTAAGAGAGGATGTTTATGCAGAGGTGAAACAAGAGGGGGTTCTAAAGGGAAACAAAGCACTCTACCTTATAGGTGGAATTCCTTAAGCCAGGAAGTAAGCAACTCAAAATCACTCTAGGAAGTCCCTGAAACCAACCAGATTCACTTTGTCCCTCCCTCCCCCAAAAGTATATAAACAGAAAGACCGTTGGGAATAGTTCTCAGAGAAGCCAAGCAGCCAGGAAGAAGCAGAAACCAGCTGATCTGTCACCAGCAAAGGACACTGTGTCCTCTTGAACATGTTGCTTGCAGACTGTGCAGGGTCCCAGCCTCGTGAGCTGTCACTCAGGCTGGGGTGGGCTTTAGTGCTGAAGCCATCTTTGAGTATTCTGTTCCTATAGACCCCAGCAAAACTCACTGGTTCACCAGCTTGGCTTTGGTGGTATCCATACTTTGGTCTGTTGTCAGAACCCTATCTGGTGTGAGTAGACTATCTATCAGTCATGCAAGGTCAAGGCCAGTAACAAAATGGGATGGATCCAAGAGTGTCCCATCCAATAAGAACATTTGGTCAAGTTCAAAATCACAAGACACAGAACGATGGCCAAGGACGACCACAGCGCAGGCCCAGCGATCCTCAGAGGACACACAGGAAGCCAGAGATGGTACCTGTGCCTGTGGCTGGGGGTTAAGCTACAAGTGATTTGAGGTTGGAAGTAAAGTCCCTCTTTCTCTTTAATCCCTGCCGTTACATTTTGAATTAGAAGAAAGACTTAAGAAGGGTGGATGGGTAGAGGGATGGGTAGGAGGTTAATGGAAAGAGTGAGGGATGGGGAAGAGAGAGAGAGGAAAAGAGAGAGAGAGAGAGAGAGAGAGAGAGAGAGAGAGAGAGAGAGAAAGAGAGAGAGAGAGAGACAGGGAATGATAGAGTTTTAAAAGAACTGGCCTCAGTACATCCCCAAATAGCCCCAGCTTTGAGAATAGCTGATACCATAAATGTTAGACACAGACAGCCATCAATAGCTAAGTGTCTAATAAATGATTTTCCCAGCCTGGCTGCTGCTACCACCCGGGGCAGCTGAACTTCCCTCCCAAGGCATGGCTTCTCTGGCTTTTCCCCCTGCTGAACCAATTACAGAACATGATAGCAGTGCCATGATTGTTTTTTAAAGGCTGGTGTTTGTCACTAAATGCCCATTAAGCTGGCCTCCTTGCTCCAGTTACAGCAAGCTAAAGGACAAATCCAGATGGCACAAGCAGTGCCCCTTCAGGCTTGGTCTGCAGGAGGCCAGGCAGCATAAAAACATTATCAGTCTGAGACTCCCCAGATGCCTGGCACCCACAGGTGCATTCAGGTAAGACGAGCTGGCAGCGAGCAAGCCATCTTCAAGAGCTGCATCCAGGCCTGCAGCAGAACGGTTAGCAACAGCTACAAGGATTGCTTGGCAACCAGGTAACAGGTGGTGCCTCATGTTCTACGGCAGGTGAGAGGCCTGCAGCTCCCTCCACGCAGCCCCACCATGGAATACGGGTTGCCTGGGAAGATGCAGAAAACTCCCAAAGCTCCCTGGAAAAGGTACCCTGAGGGGTTAGGGAGATAACTCCGTCTATAAAGCACTTGCCTTTCAGGCATGAGGTTCTGAGTTCAAGCCCCAGAACCTACATTAAAAAAGCAAGACACGGTGATGTGTACTTGAAGTCCCAGTGTAGGGAGACACAGAGAGACAGATCCCTAGGATTCTGTGGCCAGCCTGCCTAGTCAACTTGGCAAGTTCCAGGTGAGTAAAACAACCACCCTCGGGTCTCATAACAAACAGACAAAAAGGTCCGGAGTAGCTGAGGAATAAGGGCAAAGGTTGTCCTCTGGCTTCCACAACACACACATCCACACCCGTGTGTGTGTGTGTGTGTGTGTGTGTGTGTGTGTGTGTGTGTTTGGCAGTTTTCACATTGTTTCTTGACAGCCACCCTGAAACCCCAACTCCTTTGGTTGAAAAGACAAAGAAGTATGGCCAGGCCAATTTTTCTACCCTACAAAAACGTTGAGTTAGGGCCACAACAGCCTCATAGGAGTAGAGCAAAGAAAATTGCAAGTGAGTATTCACAGAGATCTATGTGTCTGTGCACTCAGGACCGGACATGAAAAACGACGCATTTGGTGGAAGACAGCCCTTGACCACAGCCCTTGACCACAGTCCTGAGGGCGAGAACGACAGGGAGACTGAGTGTGTAGGAGGTGAGTGATAGGTGGCAGAGGGAAGCTGTCACTGGCCCTCCACAGCCTGAGATCCTATCAGATGGATTTTATTTCCCGGTTCTATCCCAGCCAGGAAGTGGTGGGAGGCAGAGAGGGTCAACCAGAAAGAAGGCACCCAAGGTTCTTCCTGGATAACGCACTCTGGGCAGAATCTGAATGGAAACCACGGAGCTTGAGAGCTGCACAGGGCAGAATCCAAGCTCAGCCTGGACCCCTCTGAGTTTGAGGAATATCTGACTCCTTTGGAGAGACTCTTCCTGCAACTCAGCAGAAATGACGTTGTTTTCTTGTCTTTAAAGTGTTCTGACCCCATATAGACAATGCAAGAGATGCATGTGCTCCTTCCCAGGTGAATCAGAAGGTCAACATCACGCAAATGAAAAGGGCACTTGGGGTTCGCCGGGAATGGGGAGATGGGGAGCGGACCAATCAAGGCTCACCCTTTCTAAGTTAAACCAGTCCCATTCAGAGTGACCCCTGCCCATTCACCCAAGTTGGGAACAGCAACAAAGCTCTTCCGCCTGCCTGTATAATGGCAAGCGTTTGTATGAACACATGAGATGAATGAGCACAGACAGAGCACCACTGTGAGCAGTGAGGCGAGCAGCAGGGAAGGGCAGAGCATCCGGCATCCCCTCCTCTCCAAGCACCAGCCCCAGGTCTGGACCCTCCCTCCGGTCCAGCTCAGCATCTGCAACCGAAAGCTTGCCTGAAAGAAGCCCAGCGCTACCTATCCGGATGGAAAGTTCCCTCTCGGGGAAGAGCAGTGTGGCGGGGCCCTCGGGATCAGACTTCTTCTTCATCAGTGCAGGATCCAAGTTCAGGGCCAAGGCTGTCTGGGGATCTTCCGCAGCACCCTGAAACAAGAAGCAGGACGTCACCATGGCACTTCTGTGTCCTCGGAAACTCCAGACCTCAGGACCACAGATGTCTGGACAAAGGACCCATGTCCTGCTAAGAGTACCGAGGGCTGAGTACCTGACATGATCCGGCTCTCACAAACTGGCAAGCTTTGGGTAGATGACTTTGCAGGTTCCAAAACCCAAGGTCTAAGGAGTTGGCACTGATCCCCTAAATGATAACACCCCCATATACACACAGAGAGAGAGAGAGAGAGAGAGAGAGAGAGAGAGAGAGAGAGAGAGAGTGAGTTTGTCGCTACTGGATACTGAGTATGACAGACTTGGAACATGACCTATTTAAGCACATGGGGACACTCATCTATCCCACCTGTAGCTGCCTCTTCTGGGGTCTGTGACATGTTAAATCACCAGACCAGATCTGACCATAGCTACAAGAGGCCTGTAAAGGTCTGGGTGAAGGAATCTAAGAATAGAATTCCCTAGATAGCCCTATGTAAGCAAGAAACCCTGGTGTTCACTATTCACAAGAAAAATCCTTCAGAGGAGTGTGTGAATTTCTATTGGAAACGTGCTGTGAGTGGGGTCTGGCCTAATATTTGATTGTCTCAGTAGAAAGTGTTTGGCTTCTCTTCAACGTAACTGATCTCTTTACAGACTATGCCCTTCTTGTCCACAACTTACAGCTTACTCCTTTTCCAGTCAGCCTACATATTTTCAGATCCTTTTGCTCTGCTTTTCTGCTCACAATTCTCACTATAAACTTGACTAAAAGCAGCCAGCGATAAACCATCCCATCACCTGAAGTCTTACACTGTCTGGGAATCTCCTCTGCCAAGTTCATTTATGCTTTACTTTCTTTTTATTATTTTTAATTGTGTCTGTGTGTGTGTGTGAGAGAGAGAGTGTGTGTATGTGTGTGTATATATGCATGTGTATGTGTGTACATGTATGTGTATGTGTGTATATGTGTGTACTTGTGTGTGTATGTGTGTATATAAGTACAGATGCCCACAAAGGCCAGAGCGACTGATACCAATGGAGTTGGAGTTACAGGGGGTGTGAGTGAGTGTTGGGAATCAAACTCAGGTCCTGTGCAAGAGCATTATGTGTGCTCTTAACCACTGAGCCATCTCTCTAGACATATCCATAACTTTAAAGTTGGCCTCCCACAAAGTTTTAGGACACAGGTAATGTAAACAAAAGTCTCTGCTAGGACATAACAGGCATGGTCTGCAGCCCGGCTCTCAGCAGAGGGCTTCTCGCATCAGGAACCAGGTGAGTACATTCTTCACTGTCTGAGTTTTTATGGGATTCTGGTCTCCTGAGTTTCCAGCAGAATCACCCACTAAGTCTGCTTACAGCTTCTAGGGCATGTATGGGCCACACCTCTAAATGGTTCCAAATTGTTCCCACACACCAGAGAAAGGTAAAATCAGGGTTAGTCACGACAGTCCCCCAATTCTGGTACCAGTTTTCTGCATTTGCTACTTCTCTATCACCATAACACAAACTCCTGGCAGAAGAACAGAGGAGGAGGAAGCATTTATTTTGTCTCACAGTTTTGGAGACTTTCAGTCCATCACCATGGGGAGGTCACAGCTTTGGACAGTGGTTCAGAACAGCAGGTCAAAAAGCCAAAAAGACATACAAACTACAGCTTTCCTCGGGGACATTTCTTTTGGGAAAGAATTTCAGAAAAGGTGTGTCAGGCTGTACCTTACACACACACACCTTTTTGTTTTTATCATGGCCATGATGATCAAAGACAAAAAGAAACTAAAGATTCTGATATTTTATTTCATCATTTCTTTCCAATTAAATATTAAACATGAATACTTCGTGGTGTCTCACATCTTTTTTTTCCCATAGTTTTTTTCTTAATTTTCTTAATTCTTTATACATCAAACCTTCTATGGAGTACTTTACCAAGAGTACCAAAGCCTCATTTAATCTTGTCTGAAAATGGGGAGAGGGGCAGAAGCCCCCATCCCTGTTTGGCCAGTCCCACACAGCCCCCAGCTTCTATACTGAATCCTGGAATTCCCCTCTGTCATGCTGCATGACATTTGGCTCTTGGCATCGTGGTCAAGGCTGACACCACAGATGGACAGGATCCTGGGTGGATGAGAAACCCTGAGCAAGGCAGCCCACACCTCTGCAGAAGGCCCCTTCAACCACTTTCGGGTGACAGCTGGTGTCTACGTGATGAGCCGTGGGCCACGGAGTCGCAGCTCTTTGTTTGTGTGTGTGTGCTTTCATTATTTCTAATTCTACATCTCCCGCTGCTATCTGACAGATCACGGCAGCAATAAAAAGCGTGCTTCACCACAAAAGGGGAACGGCTGACGGTCTCGCCTTTGTCTTCCTTCTTTGATGATGTGATCAGCGAAGAACTGGGAGAAGGATGGAGTGGAGGGGAATCACTTCATTGCAGGGGAAATGGCACTGCATTCTTGTGCACCACGCTGAGGCTGAGACCGCTCATCCTACTGAAACCCTCCAGGAAGGCACAACATGGAGACAAGGAGGTTGATGTAGGACAGTGGTTTTTTAATAGCATGATTTTAGCCTCAGAACACTGAGGTGTGTGGGTGGGTCCTTTGATATTTCTCAATATTCTATCATGTATGACACAGCCTCAGAGCAAAGGACAATCAGATGAAAGATTTGGGCTGACCAAGACCTCACAGCTCCCTGCGTTATTACAGATTCATGCTGGGAACCCCGGGCTCTTGTTCCTACCAAGAAAAGAATTCTGTCACTTTCTCGGATGACTGCTGCCTGCCTGCCCTCACGATTCAATACATTTTTAATTAAGCATCAACTGTCTACCAGAGCTCTGCAGCTCCTCGAGATATAAAAGAGCCAATTCCCATTCTGCACGAACCGTCCCTTCTCCTTTGAGAGACCATAACAAACAATCAATGACAGATTGAACAATTAGAGACCTGAATAGTGACAATGTTCGGAAGAAAGGGACCAGGAAGGTGGCTCAGTGGGTCAAGCGCTTATTGTGTAAGTGTGAAGAACTGAGTTTGGACCCCAAGCATTCAAGAGCCAGGCACAGTGGAGGCGCCTGTGACCCAGCTCTGGGGAGGCCGAGACAAGCAGATCCTTGAATCTCATTGGTCAACCAGCTGAGAGACCTGAGGAGTCCCAGCTTCATAAGGCAGAGAATGGCCCAGGAAGACATCTGGCATCGTACCTCTGGCCTCCACCCGCACGTGCATATTTGTGCGTTTCCACATATGTACACACCCATATACCACACACAAAGAACTTGAGTAAATGCAGAAACAAATGAAGAAAAATATGTCACAGTCAAGGGTTATAGCGACTCTTGTTCCCGGCTCTGTGACAGATGGTTGTCCAGTGATTTGTATAAGCTCTGCCATTATTAAACATGGAGGTGTGTGTGATTCTTGCATTACAGTAACCTTGGTTGTGATCATTGGAACAGTGGCCTGTCTGTGAAGCATTTAAGAAAAAAAGAAAAGGAGAACAAATCGTGGCATCCCCGTAGCCCTCAGATCTCTCTACCACTTCATTAGCCCAGACCCCGGTGGCTGTGTTGCTTCGGATTCATGTTTGAGGGAGTCGGAGGAAGTACACTTAGAAGCCTCCACCCCAACTGTACTAGAAGCTGCCCTTTTAGGGCCAGCAAGACGGCTTAAGACAGTGATCCTCCTCCTTCCTAACACTACAACCCTTTAATACAGTTCTTCATGCTGCGGTGATCCCAGTCATGAAACGATTTTTGTTGATTCTTCATAACTGAAATTTTGCTACTGCTATGAATCGTAAACATCTGTATTTCCCAATGGTCTTAGGTGGCCCCTGTGAAAGGGTAGCTCAATCCCAAGGGGTCACGACCCACAGTTTGAGAACCACTGGCTTAGGAGGTATAAATCGGAAGACCTGCATTTGATCCCCAGATTTCACAGTAGAGAGAAGAGAACAGACTCCCAAAAGTTGTCTTCATACATTTCTGTCTGCATGTGTACCCCAGTGCATTCTCTCTCTCTCTCTCTCTCTCTCTCTCTCTCTCTCTCTCTCTCTCCTGCACATACTCACACATACAACTAAATAAACTTTTTTAATGAGACCCCTTTTTTAAATGTTATTTATCTTATTTTACATGTGTGTTTTGCCTACATGCATTTATGTTCATGTACCACATGAGCTCCTGATTCCCAAAAAGGTCAGAAGAAAGCATAAGTTCCCCTGGAACCAGAGTTATGGACAGTTGTGAGACACCATGTGGTGCTGGGAACTGGACCTCAATCGTCTGCAAGAACAACAAGTGTTCTTAACCACTGAGCCGTCTCTCCAGCCCCAAGAGGCTTCCCTTTTAAAAAACTGGAACAGGACCAAGATATCTCGCCTGTGTCCATGCCCACCTGTGCCACCCATCACGAACTTGACCACACATCTACCCTTCAGAAGGCTAAGGCCTTGTGACTGTTACAGCGTATTGGCCACAGCTAAGATATGCCCGTCAGTACAAGGATGGAGGGAGAAGATGGGATGCAGATACAATCTGACCACAGTGAAGAGCAAAATGCTGTATTTACAGCAAATGGATGACAGAGGAGGGCTGAGGCTAGGTTGTTGCATTAGGAGCGGCAGGGCTGCGTCCCCGGCACCCAGCTGCCCGTATGGCTAGGTTATGCCCCGAAATAATTACATGAAACTGTATTCTTTCAAACACTGCCTGGCCCGGCTAGTTCCAGATTCTTATTGGCTAGCTCTTACATATTGTTCTAACCCATTTCTAATATTCTGTGTAGCCCACGAGCTGGCTTACCAGGGAGGATCTTAACCTGCGTCTGACTGGAGCGGGAGAATCATGGCGACTCCAAAACTAAGCTTATTTCTCCCAGAATTCTCTTCTGTCTACTCCGCCTACCTAATTTTCTGTCCTATGAGGGCCGAGGCAGTTTCTTTATTAGTAAGAAATCACTCCCACATCATTTCCCCTTTTTCTGTTTAAA